TTGCACATGATGCACTACAGGGACGTAGAATGTGGGCTCTGCATGGAAGAACATGGCTCTGACAGACCGTGCCGGTGCCCCCACCGCTCTCCCCCAGCTCGCTCCTGTCCTCAGGTGTGATTGTGCCTTTCGCAGGAGCGACAGCGCCTGGAGACGATCCTCAGCCTGTGCTCCGAGCTGAGCCGAGCCGACCGGGAGCCCGCGGGCACCGCCGTGGCCGACCTGCAGAAGATCAGCAGGGAGCTGGAGAAGCTGCAGTTGTCCGATGAGGAATCCCTCTTCTCCGATGGCCCCCTGGCTCAGGGGAACGGCAGCCCAGCCAAGCCCAGGGACTTCTCCCGATCCCTGGGCCCACAGTACGGCGGCAGCGTGGACCATCAGCTCCAGCCCTCTAGACTGCAGGAGGCGCGGGCCCCCTGTGGGTCTCTGAGGAGCTCAGGATCATCTCCGCATCTCCTCAGGACCAACAAGGTAGGTTTACCTCACCGCTGCTGGTGAACAGCAACCCACACTGCTCCCATTACAGAGCAACGTTGTCCTTTCCAGGTTTGGTAGTTCAGGTGGGTCGCTGCGTCAGCATGCGTAGGCTGCAAAGGAACAAGTAATAGGTTTATTCCCTGCTGGAAAAAAAAGAAGAAAGAAAACACAACATTTCGGCCGTGGAGCCTTCTTCAGGTGTGAGAGAGACAAGGCAGTAGGCAAAGGTAATGTAGTGGGAGAACAAAGGCTGGGAGAGAGGAGGAGCGAGAGGTGGGAGCAGGGGACAGAAAGAGAGGCCGATCAAGAGGTGTGAAGACACACACCTTCAGGTATGAAGTCTCTCTTACACCTGAAGAAGGCTCCACGGCCGAAACGTTGTGTTTTCTTCCTTCTTTTTTTCAGCAGGGAATAAACCTATTACTTGTTCCTTTCCAGGTTTAGGCGCAGATCGTATTGCTGATGCTGAAAAGTGCAAATGACAAATGCAAATGATTTTAATGAGGTAGCAAGCTTGAAATGTATGAGGCACAGCAAGGTGCTGTGTAACAGTCTGTGGCTCCTCCTCACTTGAACTGCACTGAGCTGCATTGAACTGCTCCTCCGTTGTTGGTGCTGGCACGTGTGAGCTCGCGCCGATATCTTTCCATCTGCGTTTGATTGGTGTCAGCCTGTCGCCAAACAAACAAGCAAGCACAGTCGTGTCGGAGAGCAGCCTGGCGAAGAGAGTCTGATCTGAGCTGGCAGGTTTCTGCATATTCCATATCCAGTGCCGACCAAAATGTGAAATTTCTGTTTAAGGAACTTCCTTGCAGAGGTTAGGAAGGGGATTTTTTTAATAGCTGTGACATTGCGAAACACATTCCACCTGGAAAAAAAAATAGATCTTTACTGCAGAAGTGAATTAGTTTCAATATACCGTAATACGCTTGAACTTTCCATTGAACTATCAGATCTTATCAGGTGTCGCACATAGTCCTGTGTTAATTCATTTGATCCTTCTGCCTGGCTTGCAAAATATACAGTATCTGAGTCAAAATGTACTCTAAATATACTAGAAAGCAAATAATGTTGTAGTAGAAAGACTTTGATAGGCAAGATACTGTTTTTAATTAACAATGATCTAGCCATCTATCTTTTAATTGTAGTTTGCTACTTTTTTTCTTTTTTACTTTTCAAAGATTCATAAAATTGTCTTTGACTATCCAGCGAGCTATCGACATTAAATCAGTTGGAACGCTGCCTTGTCCAGCTTGTCCCTCTACTGGAGTCTCTGTAGGCAGCGAGACGTTCTCTGAAGGGAGCCGGGCAGTCGCCCTGTGAAACTGAGCTGGTGGGGAAGGTATTTTAACGGTGCAGTTGGAAAGGAATAACTCCGACTTGGCCGTGTCTTTTCCCCACTCCCTGTCAGCACAGTGCTCTATTCCACTGTTCCCTCAGACCGAGTGCAGTTCGTGAACGCTGTGTCCTCCCCTAGAGAAGCCTGTTGCGTGCTGTTAAATTGGGTTTATTGAAATGAGCATTGCATTCTCCAGAGTGTGTGTGACATTCATCTTGCTTGACTTGTTTTCCTGTGTGCGCATAACGCTGTGAGCTATTGCTTTAAAAAGATCCAGAGCTCTTTTCATGGCCCATAAAACGGTGCCAGTGAAAAATGATTGTGTAGAAAGTTTAATTTAAAGGAGACTTTTCTTTTAAGCTCAATGTGTGTAAACCGATAGGTGGTGAAATAGTCCGAGGCACCGCAGGGTGGCTGGGAGGGATCGCTTTATTATTCGTGCCCTGAACTTTAATGAATGAAACCTGATGAGGTAGGTGTAAATACGCCTGTAAATCTGGCCATATTGGCTGAGTGAAACTCAATATAGTGCTGAACTTGTGCTCCCTGCTGAGTTTAACATGAATTGTGCAGTGGCGGAACTGAAGCTAGGCATATAATGTAAGCGTTGGTTATTTGAATGATCCAATGCGATTTTTTACATAAAATGTATATACTTTTATCATGCTGCATTTATTATTGAAAGCTTTGTTTGAAAGTGGTTTTCTCCTACAGAACATCTGCCTGACCTCGCAAACTGAACATTTCCATTACTTTCTAGATTGCCCTCTATTTTCCTATTCCTGTTTATTTGCCTGATGCTTTGATCCAACAATTCGGGAGTAGCACTTTGCTCACGGACACAACAGCGGCGGCTCCCGTGGGATTTGAACTTGCAGCCTTCCAGTCAGGAGTCCAGAACCCTGACCACTGCTCCATGCTGCTGCCACTGGATCCCAGTACCCCCTCGATCATTCTTGTGAGCCTGTTTTGGGGTTCATGAGCTGGACGTCAGGTTGACATTGGGGTTGTGAACGGTGCAAATTCTGGAATAGCTATTGCATCAAACATTGTTAATTGTGGTGTGTTCCACCCTCCCTCCTGGAGAACTTGAGGTTAGACTCCACGTCCTTCTCTGCTTGCAGCTGGCTCCTGATCTTCTGTCTTGTCATTAGCAGACCTCAGAGCCACCGGAGAATGAGAACCGGAATCAGGAAGTGACCCGCATCGAGGAGGAGAGGATACAGGTACTAAACAACCTGGAGGAGCTTGAGCAGAAGATCAAAGACCTGGACAACCAAATGGAGGAGTCAATGAGGGAGGTATGGTCTGTCTACACAGGGTTATTTCTACAGTCGTTCAGGGAGGGTACAGTCTGTCTACACAAGGTTATTACTGTAGTCAGTCAGGGAGGGTACGATCTGTCTACACAAGGTCATTACCTCAGTCAGTCAACTCTTTAGTACAGAGGCCGTTACTCTGTAACGCACGTCGGACAGCTGGAGCTATTTCCTTTTGATGATGAATGCGAGTGATGAATCCGGGCCACCCAGCTGTGTGAGTGTGTGCAGTGCAACTGTCCTGGATTGTGTTGGCAGGCATTGCATCTCCAGGTCCCGGCAGTCGTGCTTTCTCCATTAGCGTCCGTGGGCCTGGCTGATTCAAGGAGCGGGATGATGAAGTGTGAGCGGAGGTGCAGATACCGTTTTTATACTCGTCCTCCTGGGCCACCGTAGGGTGTTACTGAACATGATAAACCAGTTGAGCACACACATGGAGATGAGATTTGTCCGTACAGAAGAAGACTACTGGGACACAGAAAGGAAGGAGTAGGAGTTTCTTGTGACTGTTAAGAGCTTCTAGCAGACCAAGTCATACGACAGCCTCATTTTCTGTCGGCTCTCGGTACCTGTGTTGCTTTGTGTCCTGAATAAAATACTGGAGAGAACTTTTTGCAATGTGCATAAACCTTTTATAAAGAAACAGTCCGTAGGAGTCTTGTCTTTTCATTTTCTGCAGTTATTTTGGAGACCTAACAGAGCATAGCCTTGTTTTTGTTCTGTAGGTATAAAGTTGCTCATGTGTTTCTGCAGTATCGTTGACATTCAACATGGGCCCCTTTTACAAGTTTCTGTTGGTAACAAAAATATAGGAACAGTGTGGAGGATGTACCTTTTCTTTGATCCATTTGAATAATAAACTTCCAGTTCTCAAAAATACTGGAACAAAAAAGCCGTGTTTATTAGGGGGAAATGTAATTGCATACTCACACTCCTTGACTACCACCGGAGCAGTGAGATTTGTGACCGGGGCGTCAGTTTGTGCTCGAGCGTGCTGCACACCAGCAGCTCCCAGAATGGTGTTTGGCTGCCCAAACCAAGCTGGAGGCGGGGAGGCCTGCCTGCGAGGTTCAGGACGAGGTGAGGGGAGGGCTGATTCCTCCCATGTCTCCCAGCCCTGCCGTGTTGTCAGCCTCACGCCTGCGATGCCCCCTCTCCTGCAGATGGACATGGAGAAAGCCCTGCTGGAGGGCGAGCAGGAGTCCGAGTCGGCCCAGCTGCAGCACGACAAGGAGGTGCTGGACCAGCTGAACGCCAGGATCGCCGACATCGAGAAGAGCAGCGTCTCGGAGAAGCTGAAGGTAACGGGCTCAGGAGTGGCAGGGGGGAGGAGGAGCAGGCTGGCATGTCACTACTCGTTCAGGGGTTTTAAAGATTTTTGATTCTGCCCCTCTGTTGTTTAGACAACAGACCTCTGAGCTGTCTTCTCCTTGAAATGCATGTGGAGATTTTGTACTGCTGAGCTCTTCTTGGTGCAAGAGCTGACAATTCTCCAGCTTGCAGTGTCCGAAACACCTCAGTGGTGTGGGATCTCACAGGTTGGGTCTTGCATAGCTCTGGTCGTGCAGCACTGATCCAGCTTACGCTGAAGCCTAGGGAAATAACTAGTGCTTTGAACTGAGTTGCTCAGTAGTGTAGGACAGATAGATAGAAAAGCAGGATCATGAAGAAGCCCACTGTACCCCTGCTTTACAGCAATAGAGTGCCTAATATGTCTTGCTAGACAACCTCAAGCACGGAAAGAACCCCTAGAGGTGTTTTAATGTTCAGGAGAATGCCAGACATCTATTTCCAGGGTCCTCGGTAGTAAATATAAGTAACAAGTAACAAGCTGGGGCTGAAATGGCACCTGTGTGCAGGGCAGTTTCCGGAGTCTCTTGTTAACGCGGGCAGCTGTCCGAAACCCGAGCCGCGGTGCCCATGCCGCTGTCCCTCGCACTGAGCTGTGAGCACACTCACAGCTGCCTGAGACCAGGGGTCCCCTGCTGAAGAGTCTGAAGGATAGCTCTGGGCCTTGTCCGCTGAGCCTGCGTTTGATAAAAAACGGGGAAACAAAACAACCTCCGATGTTACGTAAATGTATTGAATGACTTGCAAAGGGACCTCTGATTTATGCACTACCTGGTGGCCTTTTTGTGTTAAGAAGAAAAATGTGAATTTAACGTGGCGATTGATGTTTGAATGTCATGTTCCGTTTCCTGCAGGAGGGCCTGGTATTTACTTTAGAGAAGCAGTTTCTGCAGAGGAATAGAGCAGGAGGCCTCTTAGGTTTGAAAAGACTTTGGGGGCTGAAATATGTAAGAACATAATGTTACAAATGAGAGGGCACTTGGCCCATATATCCTGTTTGATAGGAACTAATTAATCCCATCCAACCTTTTCTTGAAAGAAGCCAGGGTATCGGGTTCAAGAGCATGGCTGGGTAGCGTGTTCCATAATCCCAGAACCCTTTGGGTACAGAAGTGTCTCCTCCTTTTAAATGCACTTACACATAGTTTCCACCTGTGTCCTCTGGCATACAAGGATTGTGCTGGTATCAGTGGTGCTCTTAATAACCCGATATCATTGTGCAGTTGTCCATGGAAAAATGTAGTTTAATACTGTGCTGTAATATGAAAGGAAAAGTTTGCAATCGTTTTTCTTTTTTTTTATACATCTTTTCTTCTTGGAGTGGATTGTGCCCACTCTGATGGAAACTCGGAAGTCAGATGAGAAATGGACTTTTACCATCTCTTGGCTACTGCATAGTCATGAAGCAACAGTAACAACATTGTTCTGTTCCTCTCGGTGGTTTTTGTTCTTTGGACAGGAACGGCTGTGAAAAGAAACGGCCAAGATTCTGGTAGAAGATTGCCATTAAAACTAAGTGAAAAGTGGTAGAACTATGTTTGGAAGTACAAAGAAGTCTCCTTTTATACTCTTCTTGTTTGTGTAGAGTAGAACAAAGGATGTTAATGACAGGGAGCACCTGAACATGTCAAATAGACTTGAGTGGTGACTGTATGTGAATAGTATGCATTGAGAGTTTTATCTTGGAAGATTATAGAAGACAATAATTCTTTGTTTCATTGCTTAGAAATTTGTTTTGTATCAAAGCTGCTGTACTTACAAAAAGCATACAAACGGTACTTACATTTATTTTTAAGGTAATGTTTATAACATTACATAAACCCCATGCATAGTCATCTGCACAGCTTACCAGAACCTGTATGTTTACTTTCCCACAAGCACACTAAGCCCCTGTAATTTCACAATATCCCATCATCTTTGCACAAACCCAGTAATTACACTTGCCCATGAACCAATATGCCTTTATTGTGAACTCTGTTATTGTGCAGTTTTATTGAATGGGGGATAAAGGAATTCGTCTTTTTGTTACATCTGTGATTTAGATTGTTAAATGACAAAGCTCTCAGTAACAGCCAAAGTTGTAGTAGTCTAAGAAGGTACTGCTACAGCCTTTGAGTAAATTCTTGATGCTCGTATATAAATATACTTTCTCATTCTGATTATAGTGTTTAAAACTTTTGCAGTGTAAATAAACATCACAAAACTGTAAAAGGAAAATGCAAGCTTGTAGCACTGGGCTCTCCTGAGTGAAAGCAGGGGTGGTGGCATTCCTTTTAGAGTAGGAGTCGTTGTGGCAGACGGGGTATTGGTCCTTTGTAACTCTTGATTGTGTGTTATACGTTTGTCGAGCAGTGTCATTTTGTGACTTCTTGCAGATGCGCCGAAATTGTGCGAGGAGTCTTTTCACAGCAGGTAGCGAGTGGGTTCCCCGGTGGTCCCTGGTGATGAGGGTGGTCCCTGCTGAGTACGGCTCTTGTGTTGCGGTCTGCGTGCGCGGGAGGGAGAAATGTCAGCCAGTGCCGCAAAGCGTTATTCTCTGCTTTATTCATTCTCATCTGAAGCTTTAAAACTCATGTGCCTTCTCCCTCTGCCGTCGGTTTTGACTTCGTTCGTTTTTTGTGCCCTTTTTTTAATGCAAAGCAAGGTATCGGCCACTGAACTAATACATCTAACTCCTGTCTCCCTCCTGCTTACTGAAGCTTGCACTAATCATGGACATTCTTTCTCCTGTGTTGTTGTTTTTTTTTTTTACTCTGCTTTTATAGGACAAAGCAAAGCTTGATGCTGAAAGGGAAAAAATAGAGAAACTTCAGGAGCTTTATACAGAGCAGAAGACCCAGCTCGATAACTGTCCTGAGTCCATGAGGGAGCAGTTACAGCAGCAGTTGAAGAGGGTCAGTAGAGTGCGAGTCCGAGAGAGTGGTCCGGGCACAGGGAGAGGAGGGTCAGCGCCTCGGATCACTGGGCCTACGGCTGTGCAGATGTGGCGGACGCACCGAAGAGGGGGCATAGCGTAGTCCTCCTCCGCTGCTTGGCTGTTTGCCGGGGCTGTTCATTTTTGTCCGTTTTGGCACAATTACTGTAGCGCGAGCAAGCGGCAGCCTTTGCTTTCTCTATGTTCTCAGACGCAAATGCAGCATTCTAGTGCCGCTGGGCTGCGTTTGTGTCCTTACAGAATCTGAGAAACAAAGCTGCTCTCACACGGGAGGGTTAGAGAGGGAGGGGGGGGTGCCTGGCTTTTTTTTTTTAAGGGAGCTAGGAGGTACCCAGGAATGTCAGGCCCTTGGCTGCTGGAGAGATGTGCCCGTGCTGATCGGTTACGGCATCCAGTCTGCGTCATCTGGACTCTCTGTGCTTCCTTGTGTTTGATAAGCAGCCGGCCAGACGCCTTCACCCTTCACAAGCCTCTGCTCTGATGCTCTGATGTGGTCTTTCTTCGCAAACGCCTTATCGTGTGCAGCGCTTGCCTTTCTGTGGAATTTCATTATGAGCGCATGGAATGATAACCAGATTGAAGATAAAATTTGGAAACTCTTGAGACGAGAAAGGGTTTGATAAGGTGAATTGTAAGAGGGTTTTTCCGATCTCCTTTGTAAATTGTCCTTCTGCTTCAAATCAGCTGCTTTTCTTCATTCTGCACAGTACCAAGCCTGAATTAATAATGCAGCCTGCCTTCATTTTGCAACATTTTTTACAGTCATTGCCTTGGTAAAAAAAATTGATGATTTTATTCCAGTGCGCAGCTAACATGTCTGTGGCAGCCTTCCCACAGCTGTTTGTTTCTCCACTGTTATTGGCCACGCATTCAGCAAATTTCATGTCCGAAATTTCAGTTTACTATCATCTCTATGTAGCTCCAGTTTCCTCCCTTAGTCCTAAGACATGCTGGTACATTAATACGGTTTGGTAAAAATTGGCCCTGGTGGTGCCTGTGTGTGCCTGTGTGTGCCTGTGTGTGCCTGTGTGTGCCTGTGTGTGCCTGTGTGTGCCTGTGTGTGCCTGTGTGTGCCTGTGTGTGCCTGTGCCCTGCGATGGACTGGGTGTACCCCAGCTTGCGCCCTTTGCTTGCCAGCAGGGATAGGTTCCAGCTCCCCTTGTGACCCTGGATAAAGTGGTGAGACAATGGATGGATGGATCTTCGTTATGTATGCATAATCCTCCCAAGAACATTCCAGCTTCTTAAAACAAAAAGGGAACTGACAAGAAGATATTGCGTGATCCTGTTACAGTGTTATTTAGGCTCCGTAAAATAAGGGAATAGTGAGGCGCCTGACCGCACCATTGGCCCTGCTGCGTGCCCGAGCTTGACGCAGGTGCAGCTGTGCGTCCGGCCGGCTCTCACTGCGCCTGCTCTGGGGCTGTGCTGCAGGACGCCGACCTGCTGGAGGTGGAGGCCAAGCGCTTCGAGGACCTGGAGTTCCAGCAGCTGGAGCGGGAGAGCCGGCAGGACGAGGAGAAGGAGACGCTGACCCAGCAGCTGCTGCGCGAGGTCGCCGACTACCAGCGCAGCGCCGTCACCAGGAAGGTACCGCGCCGGCGCCGGCTTGTCGGGAGGGAAAAAACGAACAACCGAGGCGCCAAGGCGGGCGAAAAAGACCAGCTCGGCTACCCACAGGGCTCCTCTGATGAATACACTCGCCCTGACGCATTTAATTTCCTGTTTTCAAAAACTGGAAGCGGTTGTCGAAGTAGCAGAGTGAGATGTGTTTTATGAATGTGATCTTGAGCGTGTGTGTGTGTGTTGATGAGTGAATGAAGGCAAGAGAAGACTTAGCTCCAGGATCAGGGAGCAAGCGATCTGCCCCGCAGGGCCCTTCATCTGCCCCCCCGTCGTTCCTCATTGGCAGGAAAGGCTGCTGACCTTGAAGAAACAGTCCAGTCAGATTGCCCAGCAAGCCCAGTGGGAGAAGGACAGTTTCCTGAAGGAGAAGAACAACCTACTGATGATGCTACAGAGGGTAGGCAGCATGTTGTCAACTCTGTCAAGCACTTGACCTTAATACCTCAAAAGCTAGAATTAAAAAGAGGGGCTAAATTAGGTCATTTAGAGCCTAATAAGAAAGAAAAACAGGAGACCTGAGGCTAGGGTTGGGAAATCCTGATATTGGGAAGAGCTGTGACAGTGGTAGTCTTCATTTTTTACAATATCTTCAGTCTCAGTTTTCTCTGCAATACTGTTGTTGTGTTGCCCACCAAGGGCACTGTGCAGGAATCCTGTGCCACAGTGCCCAGCCGTGTGAAATATGGAATGTGTGCTCTCAAGACACTTATTTAATTAAGCCCAGAAGGAGGGGTGAGGAAACCCGATGCTCATATTAGCCTTTGTTTAGATTTTGCTCATGAAGAGAGTGTTTTCCACCTGCTGCCCTGCTTTAGGGAGAGGATGGGGGCGTTCTCCAACAGTCATGTGGGACCTTCCCTGCCACAGTTGTTCCCCATAAACTCACATTTGGAGCTTGCAGAGGACGGCAGAAGACCTGGAGTTCACTGAGCTAAAGCGGACGGTTTCTGTTTCTATCTTCTGTCCTACAGGAAAAAGAAAATCTTGCAAATTTGGAGAAGAAGTATGTGGAGCTGACCGGAGGCAGGGGGTTCCCAGTTAGCCCTGACAGTATGAAAGAGGTACAGCGAATGGTCGTGTTAAGGAGCTTTCACTGCTACCAAGCTACTAAGTGTTAAATGTCTTAATGTCTCCTTTTAAAAGAGGCTACGATAGTATTACATGCACCTGTGAAAAGCACATTGTTACTTGCAAGGCATCTATTGACATGAAACTGAGAGTAATACTATTTTTGCCTATTCATTACCTTATTTCCTGCGTTGTGTTCTTCAATTAAACTGCGTTTTTCTGTGCAGCATTACCAATCAAATACCAAGCCCAGGGTTCTAGTGCATTAAATTAATTATGAAACAATTAACAAGCTGTCTGTCCCAACCTCCTGCGCTGAGAAGAAGTGTGCTGTGTTGTGTGCTTGCCTCTCCTTGTCTTAGAGTAACCAGGTGGTGCTGTTGTAGGTGGTCCCCATCAGTGCTTTCATACGTACAGCTCTGCATCTGACCAGCGTGCTTGTCCTCTGTGTGCAACACTAGCAGTAGAGTGATCTCCACTCTTTCAATCCCGAGACATGAAGATGCCGTTGTGCTGGTGCTCCGGAGGGCGTCCTCACAGCCTGGGTTTTCTCTGTCCGTCCCAGGACTGCTCCATGCTTGCTGATGTGTGCAGGCTTTCCGGCAGCGGCCCTCCCCACACAGCCCTGCCTCTGCTACAGGCTGACCTGCTGGCTCTTTCCTCTTTCCTGTCTTCGTTTCCCCTTAAGAGAGCGGAGGTACTGTGCTGTCTGCGTGTGGCGTGCCCCCGACGCACGGCCAGGCTGAGCTGCCCTTCCAGATTGCGCGATAATCCAGAAGGTTGCTGAGGCTGGCCAGTGTCTCACTGACGGACTGAGTGAAACGCTGACCATCTAACACCTTGACTGACCCTACCGTGTGACCAGCCCACAGACGCCCTCCCTGAGTCCTCTGCTAGTGCCCTTTATGCTTCAGCTGCGAGCAATCTGTGTCTCTTCTTTCTTCTATCTCCCTTCTCTTGGTTTTCTGTACATTGTTTTGTTTTGCCTTTTTTGCTTGGGACTCGGTTATTGGTCCCGATTATCGGTGACATGAAACAGCCAGTAAGCAGAATTCCAGAAGAATTAAAGGAAGCTTGTTCCTGCTGGAAGACCTTCTGGCTCCTCCCTTCTTCCTGTCCGCATCAGAGCCCTCCTTCACGGCAGGGAGGCAAGGCAGAGTCCTGTACGAGCCAGTTCAGCTTTGGCATCTGAGGCTTGTTGTTTTAATTTTGCATAACTTGCTGCAGACAGATGGGTAGATTTACTATTAAGCAATCCTAAATGACTGCTTTCCTGCATCACAAAATTTGTCAGAAGATTCTGCATCTGATAAACCCTGATCCTGATTGCAATCGCAAGACTACTGTGCAAGGGCGTCTTAATTCCTTCCCGATATGGTTGTGCGGCAGACTCACCATGCTAACTTTCCTGGAATGCCAGTTTATTAATGTCTTGTTCTCTTTTTTTTTTTTGCCTGTCTGTCATCGCCCTGTGCGGCCTGTGCTTGTTCTCTGACACCCCTGCCTGCTTCCTTCCTCCAGGGCTATGTGACAGTCAGTGAGATCAATGAGCTCTATGGGCAGTCCGGGCCCCCCTCCCCTTCTCAGCCCAGTCCAGAGGGTCCTGCCCCATCGCAGTCCCCACAGGCCCCAGAGGAAGAGGTGTGTGTGGTTGTGGAAGGGCCTGGGCACTGTAGTTAGAGTGTGTGTGTGTGCTTGTGTTTGAACAGTCAGATCTGCTTCGCTGCAGCTCTGAAATGGTGAAGTAACAGTCATCCAGGGTGGGCAGCTCACAGGTGGTTTCCTTTTTGAGCGGCTCATCCATGTCTTATAGGACATATTGTATCGAAGACTTCTGCACCAGCTTTCTACGTGCTAAAACGGTTCTAGTGTTTTTGTTGTGTGTTACTTAATGTAGATATTTCCACCAGATGCATTGTTCTACTTCAGGGTCAGTGCAGGGGGAAACCAGGCGGGGCAGGGCTCTGCAGTTCGGAGGTCAGAGGTCAGTCGGGACGAGGCTCAGTGGTTTGTGGTTCGGAGGTCAGAGGTCAGTCGGGACGAGGCTCAGTGGTTTGTGGGTCGTAGGTCAGGCAGGGAGAGGGGTCAGGTAGGATGAGGGTTGTAGTCTCCTGGAACAGGGAACCCTGGCAAGCACAGTCTCTGAGACTGAGCTAGTGATCTCATGGGGTGTGAGCTGCAGCTTACAGCTCTTATCACATTCGGCATCTTCAACCTCCCAGACCCTGGGGGTTCTCATTCCTGACCCAGACCGCCTGCCAGACTGGGCCAGGAACCTACTTATAACTGAACAAATCAGGCAAAATGATGTTTTGTTGAAAGAGCACATGTCAGGTGCATTTTAGAAAAGACATAGCTATTTATTTTTAATGAGGGAGTGAGGTTCATCAACACCTCTAGAGCTGCTCCCCGACAGTGTAGGGTACACTGCAGTCCCCATGTCTGCACCCAAGGAGATTGTGTTTCAGCCCGTTGAGTGTCTCATTGTCATCAGCCCAGACTGATTGCGTTTAGCTTTCAATGTAGAATATGTGATTTACTGTATGCAGCAGAAGCAGAGGACCGTCAAAAGTGATGTATTGTATTTTGTCTTGGGATGTGTGGGTAAACTCTGTGGAGAAGTGTCCAGCTCCACTTGTAAGTTTCCTGCAGACGGGAGGTGAATTCAGTCACAGTGAGTAGGAGGCTGGTGGATTCCCTAAGAATGTCAGCTGTTACTTCTGAGATTGTGAGCTGTACACCGTATTCCAGAAACGATTTGTCAGGCAGAGTTTTGCAGCGTGTACGGAGTGTGCCCGCTTTGAATCTACACACACTCACTTCTGCTTGCTTTTTTTCTCTGCCAATTTCTCCTCTCTCCCCTCTCTCTCGCTAAAGCCATCTCACTCTTCGCCTGTGAACTCTGGAGGTGCCCCTCCTCCTTCCCTCTCTCCTCAACCTGACTCCTCTCGCCCTCACTCTCTTCGTCCGGTCCCCAAGCCCCCTTCAGTGCACTGGCCCGAGGTCATGGTCACCTATGTTGACCCTTCACCTTTACCTGAAACTCCTCCTCCTCCACCACTTCCAGCCAAAAAGCACCGCCGGCACAGGCAGGTAAAGAGCAGTTCTCACCCAGTCAGCGTGCTCCAGTTCAGTGGATGATGATGACGATCCAGAGGTCCTTCCATTACCTGCAGGACTGTTGTGTAGTGTTGGCCCCTGGCCTTAGTGTTCCATTATAGGCTGCTTGCTTTCCCGGCCAAATAAAAGGGCACAGGATGTAACCAGATTGTACCGGAGCCAATACAAACGCTTGCTTTTTATCAGAAAGGTGTGTCAGGGCCATGCATGACGTACAGGTTACGGTAACAAGTTGATCCAAGACTTCATTCCTGTTGTACTATGTTGTGCTGTGCGTAGTAGTCCATTCTACAGGGTTTATTCAAGAGGGGAAGCTTTCATGTACAGATAGGCAGTGTGGGGACCGATTCCCGTGACTGTTTTACACCCGGTGTGTCTCCGCAAGTGTGACAAGTGCATCTTGGCAGGTACGCAGTTAAAAGGCCGTGACTTTGCTTCCCTGCGCTTTTTTCCAGCATTTCCGGGTGCTGGAAGAGAGGAAGAAGTCCAGCAAGGAGGGCACGCACCAGAGCGACACGCTGCCCAGGAAGAAGAGCTCCCTGGCAACGTCGGCCCACTTCAGCAGTTCCACCCTGGGGCGCAGCGCCAATCCCAAGGTGGGTGTGGTGGGTAACCGCGGGCGTGGCGGAGGCACGTTCTGAGACGCTGCGCATCTTAGTTGTGCTCGCTGTGTTCGCTGAGGAGCATTTGATCCGCAAGACTCTCGGCTGCTTGCTGGTGTACGCTGCCCAGCCGTGCCGCTGAGCTGATTTGCTTGGCATCGTCCCAGGGAACAGCGGGTTGAGGTTTTTGTATCATAAGTCTACGGTCAACATGTATTGGAACCTTTCTCTATCGGTTGTGGTCTTCCTTATCTTTGTGAACACAGTAGAGCTTTCCGTTGGAGGATGTAGTTTCTACACGCTGTACAAATACTCGGATCCCGCCACAAACGTCTTTCAAATGTTATGTTTTGAGTATGAAGCAATGTGCTGTTCACTGGGGTCCAGTCAGGTCCGTGATAAAATAAGAAAACCACTGTGACTGTGCCTTCTCTGCAAGGGGCCAGAAACATTGTCTTAACAACATAATTTGAATGTTGTCCAACACGGAATTTTAAAAAGAAAGCCAAAACAACTGGGATTCCCATGTTTTTCTTTCCTCAATGCAAAGGGCACCCCATCCATGGAAAACCAGTAAATTCTTTCAATGCTGATGTTATCAAGAGTTCATATTTTTTGTATTTGAAGATGTAAGATGTAGATTCTTGTCTTTGGTGCCTGTTTTGGTGCTCCTGTGTAAATGACACAAGCTTGTTAGAATAAAAGGCTGCAGCTCCGATCTCAAGGAGCGAAGGGTGGCAGAGAGGCAGCAGAAGTGGTGGCCGGCTGACCGTTGCCCTTGCGGCGGACCGCGTCTCTGACCGCGCGGTGCCTTGTCCTGTCCGCAGTCTCACCTGCCCCTGGTGCAGAGCTCCAGCTGGGGGAGTGTCCTGCCCCGCAACCTGACTGTGTCCTCCAAAGACCTGGACTCCCGCCGACAGCACAAAGGTGAGAGGCAGAGGCCCAGCCGTGCCAAAGGGCTTTCTGGGAGATTCCGCTTTCCACCCGCTGTGCGGGAGTGGACCCGCGGGAGTAGGGTTGTTTTTCGTTCAATATTCGGACACACTTGCACTGGTGAAGCCCAGCCCAGTTGTAAAGCGCAACGCCATCTGGAATGTGTCCCTGATGCACGAATTCCAGGTAAAGCAGAAAAAAAGGGAATAAGGCTTTGATCAGATGTTCCTAGTTTGGTCTGGTTTGTGTGCATTTTCCAGATATTGCTGTCAAAGGTTTCAGCTTCTTACAGGCTGTAGGGTGCCTCATTATACACATCTGGCTTGAGTTCCTGTGTTGAGGTGAGAACATGGCTCTTGTGCTGGGGCACTGGGTTAGTGCTGTGGTCTGCTCACGTCCCTTCTCAGTGTTGCGCGATTCCTCCTGACTCCTCTCTCCTTTCTCTTTGCCTCGCTGTAGGGAGGACTAAGAAAGGTAGGCCGTGCTGTGTGGATCTTTCATTTGTGAATCTAATCGGAGCTGCTGTCTGTTTATGGCTGAGGGCAGCTGGGCATTGAAAAGCGGTTTTGAAGTAGTCAGTAAGCTGGCGTTTGTGCTTTCCTTTCAGTAATCGGCATGATTCAGTAGGGAGCAGTAGTGATACCGCAGTGTTTTGGAGATCCCACTGCAGGGGTGTGAGACTGCATGCTCTTTCCCTGACCGTGCTGGTCTGCCCTGCATGCCTTTCTGTGCCTGGTGGCTGTGAGGTGACCACTGACCACACAGTCAAGCATGAGATGCATTGGAGCTAAGGTCTTGTGTCATGCTGCTAGAAATGTATTAAAAATGCACGTGGATATTAAAACCAAAGTGTCTACAGTATTTCTTGGTTTCCTTAACTCCTTCTGCTTTGATTTATTTTGCAAAATACCTTTTAGGAACGACTTCACATTCCGAGGGGTCTCCTAAAAAAGGTAATTCTGAGCCAGTCTCTGTTTGCTCTTCTCTGTGCTTCACGGTGGCGCTGCCGTCTTCTGCATGGCCAGTGAACACTGCGAGATCGTTTCAGAACCAGTAATCTGAGCTGTGCCTCCCACAGCTTTAGACACCTGCAGCCATGCCACGGCATGGTCAGAGGACGTCTTCAATCACATTAACAGAACCTCAGCAGAGACGGTCAGCCGTACCTAAACTGTTCTAAGGCCCAAGCTCGTCTTGAGTTACTGGACTTGGATGTGTTGAGTAATTTGTGCTGCCAGCTGAGCCTCTCTGGCTTGAGGCGCGTCTCCAGGTGTTGTGTGCTTTTTTTCATTTCGTCGGCAACCCAGACATTGTTGGGTTGTCGGTTCTAGTTGCAGACGTCAAGCCTCCGTAATTTCAGTTGATCTCTTAAAGTAGCTCGAGAGCTTCGTGCAGGATGCTGGTTGGCAGTGAAGCCAGTCAGTTTGCGTAGCGATAAGGATATGAACGCGCGTGGCTTGTGTCCTGTGATGTATTTTTCTGAAAAGGCTTTTAGTTGGGCTATATATATTTCAGCATTCTGCATCTCTGGGAGAGTGTAGGAAGCTTCATACAGAGCCTTTTGATCTGCTATTTGCTTATCATTTCCTGACCACCTGCAGCAGCTCTGCTGCTGCTCTTCATGCGAGTGGGGTGGGCTCTGCTGCATGGCGGGTCAGCTGCTGTTGTCCTTTAATACTGCAGTGTGGGTTGCAAAGTGGAATCTTGCTGCTTTCTGATTCCCCTCAGAGCCCCTGACATACACGGCTCACCCAGTGCTCCCACTCCGCTGCGGTGGACTTACTGTACGTGATTAACATATCGTCTAGAGTCAGTGCTCCTCCTGGTTTCTATATACAGCTGGACTTGGGGTGCAACAGCGGTGTCTGCAGCAGGGGCTCAAACCCACAACCCACCGGTGATGAGTCAGGAGACCCAGCACTGCGCTGCCCCCAGAGTTACTGTAATGTGCCAAAAGAAAATACGGGAAAATGCAAATGAAAGCATGGATCTGGACCTTGGATTGTACATTGGATAGTATCGAGTTTGCACGTGCAGTATGTTTGCAGTAGGGGAGGCTGTTCTTGTTTTAAACTGTGGAGGTGGGGGTCCAGTTCAACAGGTCAGCAGTGCAATGAGCGGCACACCTGTTGGGTAATTAACAGAGGGATTACACAGAGCTGTTGGTATATTTTTCTACTAACATGCAGATTCTTTACTTCCATTGCAAGCATTGAGAAGACACTAGAGTAGTCAGTTGTTAACCATGAGAAACTATACTGTAATTAAGCCTCGTCCCTGGGAGTGTTTAACTGTTGGGTGGTTACTTTGATTGCCTGCTATGATCTTAATCTGCCCTGTTCCTCTGTCTCACTTCTGGACATGCCATTGGCAGGCACAGTCGGGGGGAGATGCAGTTGGTATGCCTTTCATTTTGGAGTCGTGAACAGCATGCTCCGAACTGGAGAAGGATAGTGTGCATCTCGGTACTTTATGAGATCTTTTTCAGCAGGCTCAGTGCACACATGGGGTGCAGGCATCTGACTACAGCTCTTTAAAGGCAGGTGGCTTTTCCCTACACAACACATGTGGCTTCATCTTTCATCTGAGGACTGCGTGTTTTGTACATGAGTAACTAAAAAAATGGCAAAATATGACTGTTGCTTTTCTTTTTTTTTTCCCCATAAGGACATAATCATGACCACATGAGCGAGGAGCAGAGACAGAGACTGTCTGAGCTGTGCAGCAGAACAGCATCTGAATCTAATGTTTATCTGGATTCTTTCCATTATGCTGACAACGGATATAAGGAGCATGCTTTCGACACAATGAGCCTTGATAGTTCAGACAGTATGGAAACCAGCATATCAGCCTGCTCCCCAGACAACATCTCCAGGTAAGTGCCAATCATTCTCCAGTGTGCCCCGAGACCGGGTCTGGGATTCCTTAAGGATGTCAAGCATCAGTTCCCATGATGCATTCCAGACAAGAGGGGGAAATGCATGTTGCATGGTTTGTTTTTGCGGAACATTAGCTGGTCCCCTGCTTACTAATTGGACATCGTGTTGCAGAAATGTCCTTGCTTCTCTGTCAGAGCCTGTGGCACACTGCCATCTGTGGGATTGAAATAAATCTCCTTGTTGCAGAGGTGCCCTGCTTTGGTCCCTAGGGGGCCCAAGTGTTAGTGTTCGCCTTTAGGTCTGTGTTCTGCCTGAGGTCCTTACCAGTTGAACACATTATTACCCTAACTGCGCCAGATAAACTCTTGTCAGGGGTCTTCAGCTGTTGGTGAAAGACCAGGCAAAGCAGCAAAGTTCTGTACCTGTGCTTTGTGGACTGCAGACAACACATCCATGCTCTGCTGAGATGTTGAAGAATAATTTAGTTGGCATCTAAAAACCCCATGTGGTTCAGCTTAAATCCAGCCTTGTTCAGGGGATGTATTTGGGTGCAAGTGAAATAAAGATAACTCATTAATGGACTTTAGAGATTAATTGTCACCTGCAGGATAAGGGGGTTGTTCAATGGGCTGGCCGTTGCCTCTGGATTGAGGCTTCGTGTTTCTTTAGTTTTTCAGTATGATGGTCTTTACTGAGATAAAGCAGTGCAATTAGGGTTTCTTTTGCTTGCTATTGTTCTAATAAAGGGTAAAAGGTAAAGTCTAGGATTTACAGGAGAGTTCCTCTCTATGAACAGACGGGAGATCAGATCTCCGCGTCTCGGCCCCAGTGTCAGAGGGAAGGAGCAGTGTCTCGGGAAGTTAAATATAGAGTTACTGTCCACAGGGCAAGCAGAGTCAGGTTACAGCAAAGCCGCCGAGACTTGGAGAAAGGGGCTTTTTTTTTTCAGCATTACCAGAATCAAGATTTCACTGCTGAAGAATTTTGTTTTTTACCACTGCGGGTCCTCGCTGATTACCGATCGCGGGCAGGCAGTGTCCAGCCAGAGACCGCTCTGCCTCTCACTCTCTGGCCGACCGATTCGCCTGGAGCCCCAGTGAACAGCCGTGACTCAGGGCAGGACTTGCCAGCGGGCCCGGGTCCACTCTGTGCTTCTGGGTAGCTGTTCCAAACTGCCCATGGCGCATGAGAAACCAAGCTGGGGTATAAGGGGTGAGGGAAAGCAGCATATTGGATTGTTTCTTTATCTGTAGAAGTGCAAGCAGGCTGCAGAGATGGGCGAATGGTCTGTTGCACAACTTCGTTATCTTTCCTTCATTCTGACGATTTGAAGCGGCGGTTGTGCTTCTTCTCTCGTCGCATGCCTGGATGCTCTGTGATTGTTGGGTACAGTGTTAGGCTGATGGCACCGGGGGAGTCTGTGGCAACACCAGCCATTAGACTGGGCACATCTGGATCACAGCTGGGCAGATGGCTGAGGCAGTGCTGGAGTTGAGCCCTCCCTCCCTCGCTCCGTGCCAGAGCTGTGCAAGGCTGCAGTCCAGCCTTCGGGATCTCTGTCCTCTTGCGATGACCAGTATCGGCTTTGTGTCTCGCCACAGCTGATCTTACTCGCCCAGTTCTCCTCTTCTCCACAACAGCTGATTCAGAAGCAAAAATGTAAGAGCGATAGAAAAGTCTGCCCAGGAAGTGTATGCAGTGAAAATAAGGACAAATCTTAAACATTTTTCCTGTTAAGTTGGGTTTCTAAGAAATTATTCTCTTTTTTTCCTCCTGATTTATTCCTGGTTTAGGCTATGCGGCTGGATGGTATAGCTGTGTCAAACCAACAAAAGTGAAACAGATGGGAGTCTGTAGCAGATTTATTAATAACTCAGCCTGGAGAAAATTAGTTTGAGTAGATGCACAATTCTGGAGAAGCCTTTGATGTTTGTTTATAGCTGAATGTGGGGCTCACATTCCAAGTTCATAACTGCCATTCCTTATCTCACGAGAGCGTTCTGTATGAGTTTTTGTGTTATCTGTATATGATATTGGGGGAGCTGCGCTGGAATGGAATTTTCATTTGGTGGTGTGGTGGGGAGGAGGGGGTCTGTAGAGTGTTTCCAGGGGGTCAGGCAGTCTTTTTCTCCAGGTGTTCCTTTTGATGTTAAATCAGGACCAGGTGATCTCTCCATCAGGCAGCTGTGGCCTGGAATCTCACACCAGCGAATCTCTCCCAAGAGCGTTATGTGGGCGTTATTGATTCCTCGTGTGAGCCCTGCGCTCTGTCGGATAGCTGGCAGCATGAGGCTCTTAAAGTTGCAGCGGTGCGCAACATCGATTGATTTCATTTTACTGTCCCTAATAAGTGCAGTGGGATCAAATGAAATCTGCTCTAACAAGGTTTGTTACTTCTGAACTGCAGAAAAACCGGGACAACAAAGTGAATATGTAAAAAAAAAAACATTACCCTGCTATATGATCCCAGTGTTAAAACACTGTTTCCATTTACTGCCATAGTTCTTGCCTACAGGCGGATGCGCTGGTTGTTCCAGATGGCTCCGTTTTCATGAAATAAATGTAGGCCTCCACAAATGACATCATCTGGCGCAGTTCATTGGTTTGCTGCTGCCTGTAGCCCATCAGTCGAGAGCTAGCTGGACGGAATGACATGAATGAACAGTGTTATAGAGGGATGTTAAACTCCGTATCAGGGTTCTGACAAGAATGGGAGACATGTAATCTACTGGGAAGCATGACGGATTTCCCGGGATAGGTGGCGCAAAAAGAGAACCATCCTGCCAACAGGGGAATCCACTGGCGACTCTCCCCGTAACCCTCTCTCTGACCCAGCAGTGCCAGCACCTCCAATGTGGCGAAGATTGAGGAGATGGAGCGACTGCTGAGAGAGGCCCAGGCCGAGAAGCACCGGCTCCTGGAGAACCGGGTAAGAGGAGCCCCTTCTTGGAGTTTGTTCGCCCCCAGCAAGGGGGCAGCTGCTGTTGCAACCTGGTGCATTTCTTCCCTTTCCCCGACTGACAGCGGTTCCTGGTTCAGGAACCAGCCCGCCACCACCGCAGGTTTGAAAGGCAGCTTGAATTCCTCTGTTTTTGCAGACCTGGAAAGAGGTGGTTTCAGCGGGAAACTGGTAATACAGACCAAATGAGCCACTAATTGATGCAGCCTGGTAAGAGCTCAGGTAGAATGAAAATTAGAAGAGTTTCGCTAGAGGCAGGAATGATCACCATCACAGATTGAATTCATTATGCTTGTATACCATCCCAGGGGAGACTGCAACAGAGACCACTTACCCTGTAGGGGGTTTTGTGATGGTGCTTCAGAGGTAGTTCCCTGTTGGCAGACTGCTGTGCTGGTGGACAGTGTTAGCCTGTGTCATTAAAAGCCTAGAACCGGAATCTGAACTGTTACAGTCCTTAATAGTCATTCATTAACCAACATGGCACAGAAAATAGTTTGTGGGCCATGGTTCTACGTGTGGGTTTCTTTTTGAATTTCCCCTGCAAGCAGTTAAGCCGTGAATAGTCATGCTCTGCAGTCAGGCCGCCATCAAGCAGTACAGGTAGTAGTGCAGTGTACACTCCTGCCCCAGACCTTCCGATGGTGTGTTGTGTTTAACACCCAGGAAATCGTTTCACACCCTGTGCTACGGCACACTCGCTGACATCCAGCAGGACGGTCTTCACAACAGCTCACTAAAGGGGACTTGTCCAGTGCAGGCGAGTTCACCGGAGGTGACTTAGTCCAGCCTCCGACACCCAACAAAGGCGTTGTTCACTTGATCCCAAGGACATATTGGTTAATTTCCGTTTTCCTTTCTTGATTTTCACGAGGGAAGGCATTCAGCAGGTTGAATCATCTCACCGCCTGGTTCCCAGTCCACTGTCCCGTCGAGCAGTAGATCGTTCAGTGTGACGCTCGAGCGACTCTTGGCTGTTCAGTATGAGTCTGACCCCGGTGTGGTCCCTCGGGAGAGAGGCACGTTTCCTTGGGCTAGCCCGTGCCTTCGTCCCGGAGGCCGGGGGCAGCCCGCGGCCCCGCCCGGCGAGGTTAAAGGTGCTGTGCTGTGGTGTCCCCCAGGAGCGGGAGATGGAGACCCGGAGGCAGGCGCTGGAGGAGGAACGCCGCCGCCGCGAGGAGCTGGAGAAGCGGCTGCAGGAGGAGACCAGCCGGCGGCAGAAGCTCATCGAGAGAGAGGTCAAGCTGCGGGAGAAGCAGAGGGCACAGGTGGGCGCCTCCCAGCGACGCCCGTCTTGAGGGGGGGGCCGAGCTGCGGTGCATCTATGCTTTTGCCGACAGCCCTGTTGTGGTCGGGCTGCAAGTCGGTCTCGCTGGATCTCAGTTATTGTTTGTCTCCACTTCCTGCCAGACTTGACATCCTAGATCAAATGAAGTGCTTGGCAAAGAATTGAGAAAACATATCTTCATGCTTTTTATCTATAAAACTGAAAGCTGGCACTTGCAGGGAAGGGCAAATGGTTTGGGTGCTGCAATGGGCAC